ATTTCCTTATGTATGTTTCTAGAAACAATAAAAGATCCATAAAACATGTTCCCATATTTATATTGATAAATACCGTTTATTTAATGGCAATAAAGGGGGAATTTATTGTCCTAGGTCCATGGCTGTAGTAATGATATATGAATGCTTGCTGGTGGCCATACCTTAGCAATGGCGGGGCAGGCTGGCTCTGTCACTACCAGGCATCCATATGATAATGATTTACGTTTCTCTTCCCCTCTCTCTGCTCTCTCTTTATCATCATCTATCAACTATCACCTTAATAGTCAGAAAAATATTCAAAATTTCTTTAGTTTCAATTTTTCATACAAATTTTAAATATCTGTGAATGTTAATTTTTTTATTAAAAATATATTTATTGTATAAAATATATATATATATATATATATATATATAAAATTTTCTATATCATTTTTTTTTACTAAAGATAACAACAACTATATTTATTAAAATTCAAAAAATTACAGAGTTGATTTATATTATTTCTGCTCATTAATCCACATATTTGATGATACATGTACGCGCATTAAAAAATAAAAGGAAAAAGACAGATGGTTGAAAAAATAATCCACAAAAATTGACGAAAGAAATGTACATCATTATTAAATTTTAAATTTAATTTCTGTCAAATACTAATTTAATTTTTATTCTAATATATTATTTAAACTAGATAATAATTTTTGTAAAAATCATATGAAAAATGGTCGTAGGATTCAGCATTGCTCTTAAAAAAGATTGTGACATGGCATCCAGAGATCCTTTAGACACATGTCGTGGTTTGTTTAACCTAAACATTAAAGTATTGTGTACGTGTCCACAGAGTTACATGCACGCACGGCGATGCAGCTGCACCAATTCCAGTGCCCAACTCAAGAATCAAAATAAGTAAAATTTATGGCATTGTTTACGGCACAATTTGTTCAGATTAAGTTTAAAGAAAAAAAATGTTTTTTTAAATACAAATAAAATAAAATATTTTAAAATTTATAAATAATTTAAAAAAAACAATTATTTTTTTGTTAAGACAGTGTTTGTCTTTATCTTTTTAAATTTTAAAAGTTTATTTTAAAGTCAAATTTATTTCTATTTATTTTAAGTTACTTTTAAAATTAATGATTTTTGAACTATATATTATTTGTTCTTTGGATTTAGAATATAGAAGGAAAATTAAAAATTCCTAATTAAAATTAGCTTTCCTTATAAAGATTTCTCCAACATTCTCTTCGTTTTAAAGGTTTTTATTTTTAAGAGCTTTTCAAATATTATGTTCAACTCATCTTTTCCTTTTATAACAAGAGAAGCTCAAAAAAAGTATGTAAAACACTGCCTAAAAACTATCCAATAATTAAGTTTATTTTATTAACTTGTTACATTTTTTAGATGCTAATTTGAAGTAATGCATGAGTTTACAAGTTACAATTCATTATTATTTTAAATTTTTAACATAAATGGTTTAATGAAAATCATTTTATGCAATCTTAATTAGCAAAAGTTATCACCAACACATTTACAATACCAAATTCTCTCCAAACATCTCTACTGTACCCACTTTGTGATGTTCAGCCTTGTGACCATGTCATAATTCTATTTATTCTATTATTTCAATACTTTTTAGAATAACATTTTTAATGTTACGTTATTCATTTTTATTATCAAATACTTTATATTATTTATTATAATCTATCGTAAAGTTTCTATTCTTTAAAGAAAAATGCCAAGAACTCAACATTAACTAAAATACTATTTTATCTATAACTAAAATTATATAAAATTTAAACTATATTATATTTTTATGTTATTTTGTATTTATTGTTTTAGTTTAACAGTTTTTTTTCACTAAATGAATCTAATTCAATGAGCTAGTTTAAGAAATGTAACTTAAAATAATATAATTATTTATATTTTTTATTAGCTTATCAATTATTATTTTAAAAATACTTGAATTAATTAAACTGCATTTTCATATTTAAGTGAATATTTACAAACATTTTAAAATTATTTTAATTTTATAAAATTAATTCTTATAAAAAATAATTGAAAGTAGAAGTAGTTTATGTTTAAAAGTATTTATCATAAAAAAAGTTTAAAACAATTTCTAGAGATGATTATATTCAAAACTTCAAAGTTAGTGTCAATTATACTTATACTAATATACTATATTTGCGTTATACTATTATATAAAACAGTTGTTAATCATTTCCAATAAAATTATGCATATCTTTCTTAATTACTTTTTTACATACAATACACATAGTAGCTATAAAAAAACAAAATAATGAAAGGAAGTGCAATTTTTTAAACAAGTGCATATACGTACATATGGTTAACAGTGGTAATCTTAAATGAGATTAGTGTAGTTATCCCATATTAACATATATTTTTCACTTCAACGCAGAAATTATATCTTGTAGCTAGCTTTTAACTTAGTCCTATGTAAACCAATCTTTCTTCAATACTAATTATTAATTTTTAAATTTATTCAAATATTATTTCACCACAAATATTGGCACATAGTTTAAGTAATAACTAATAATATCATTAAAAAATAAAACAAACTATTTAAATGATATTTTAAACTTCGATTGCATAAATTAAGAACTTCAGTTGTATTTTGCACTTCGATTTCTATAGATAAACGCCTGCATTGAAATTATATTTTGTTTTTGTATTTGAGTTTTGGTATAAACAGTTACTAATGCTTAATAACTAGTTATGGGTAGAGAAGTGATAAAGCAAAGTTACAAATATTTTATTAAACTTGTATATATGTTTGAAAGTATATTTAATGTTTATAATCTTATATGTTGTGCTTTAAATTCTCTTTAACAATATTCTAAAGGGAAAAATAGAATTTTGTTTACTGAAACAAAAGGAAATGCAAAATGAAGGGGCTCGGTGTGAGTACGGAAAAGATATGGCGCCAATAGGCCATCTTGTAGTCAAAATAAAGGGGGTGGGGTGCTGGTGCATATCAAAAGGTTTAAAGTAAAGAAAAATAGATAAAGAAAGATACTCACGATGATAACATATATAGTGGGAAAATGTGACTATATATGTGTCGTTATTCAAATAGTTTATCTTCTTAGAAATCATAGCCACCATAGTTGATCATTTATCTTAATTTACAGACCTCCATAGTTTTGTGCATGTGGGTTTTATTATGACACAGGATTTTGGATAGATTGATTACTTTACGATTTTTGAGAGGAAATTGTTTAGTGATAAATAAATAAAAAATGTTCACTCTAATAATTAAATGAATAAAGAGACCAACCATGTTCATCATTCTTTTAGTGATCTCAATATTTCAAGAGTCGTCCCCGTAATGGGTGATGGGTCACCGTGTCCCCCCTTCTTCAGTCTTGCTTCACTACAATCATACACTACATACTACCATTAGCCAAAGCATCATCATGTCATATACACATATATTTCCTTTACATTTATATATATAAAAATATATTTTTACAATCAATCTATTAGTAGTTGATTGTTTGCCTTGATCTGTCGCTATGTATCCTAAATTAATTGACCCATAAATGTCTAATACTCCCATACTTACATTGCGTATGTGCTTCACATTGAAGTCTCTCTCTCTTTACCCCTAAAGCAATGCTTTCTAATCTTGGGCAAAGACAGAGGGCGACCGCCCATTCTTCCTATAAAATGCTTCCACTTTGCCTTCCAATATGCTAATATTTTCTTTCCCTGCTCCTTCCTTCATTTCAACACAATGAATCAAATCATGTCTAATATAAATGATAATAAAATACATCACCCAATGATCACATATAGAGATAGAGATAAATCTCAATAATAAAAATATACTGTAGATCACCCAAACTCTATACTTCTTGTACAATATTATATACACAACATTATTAGTAAAATGAAAACTAATTTGATACAATATAAACAGCTTACTTAAACATCATTAGTTTAAAAATTAATTTTAAACAAAATTTGATTAAAAATAGTTAGTAAATAATTGATATTTTCATATTTAAACATATAAAATTTATTTATAATAATATCTTATAAAAATTATTTTTATAAGATAATTTGGAATAATTGTAAAAAATTATGAGCTATTTTCAATTTTAAACAGCACAAAACTAATTTTTACTCATAATTAATAGTTATCACTGTTCGGAAAAAAATTACATAATAATATTTTAATGCAAATTTTTCACTAAATAAATTAACTTCACTTTATTAAAAGGCGTTTTAAAAATACTTGTTAAAAAGTTAATAAATGTTTTCTTATTAAAGTTATAATAAACTGCATTAAGAATGTGTTATAAATTCTTTTTTATATATAATTTTTTAACCAATCAGCCCTTATTAATTGTTTATTTATCATAATTATTTTCATCAAAATCCATATCATAATTGTCTTACGATGGCAATATAGCTGCCAAAGTTTGAGAAGGGCTTAGTATTTGTCGGTTACAAGACTTACAATTATTTTATGGATACATTAGAAAAGATACACACATGCATGGAAGGCATGGGCATTCTGCATTCATATATCAAACAAAAATTATATTTATTTATACACTTAAATTCATATTTTATACTATCCTTTGCAATAAAAAAGAAAAATAATTATTTTATCATATTTCTGTATCTCATTTTTCTTTCTCTCTTTCTTTTTCTATAACAAGTAAATATAAAACGAGAATAAAAAAGGTTGAAAGTTATAGCATAGAAATGTCATTGTTGTGTGGGATATTTACAGCCATCCTAAGAGAAAGAACCTCGTTTTTGGTGCAACCCTAAGCAGCAGCTGAGTTGAGTTTCTCTCTCTTAGACCACCTCTATATTTGTGTCATAATCCCTCCCTCTCCTTCTTCAACCTCTCTCTCTCTTTCTCTCAAATAGATTCTATAAGATCGCAGTTTCCAAAGAACCCAACTGAAGTTCAACTCCATAATCTCTCTTTTCACGTTGATCCACGACACATAAAACACACACACACCATGGACTCTTCCTCCTCATCACCGCCAAACAACAACAACAACTCCCTCGCTTTCTCTCTTTCCAATCACTTTCCCAATCCTCCCTCTTCACACTCTTCCTCTCACCTCTCTCTTTTCAACTCCTTCACTTATCCATCTCTTACTCTCACAGGTTCCTCTCTCTCTTCTTAATATATATTCTATTGCTTTATTTATTTTCTCTCACTAAAATAATCTCCTAAAAATATTATTTATGTATATATATTCCAGGCAGCACCACCGTGGACGCATCGCCGGAGGCAACCGATGGCACCGCCAGAGGAACAATCAACCTCTCCATATTCACTGGTGGACCAAAGTTCGAGGATTTTCTGGGCGGTTCTGCCGCAACAACCACCTCCACGTGTGCACCCCCAAACCTTCCACAGTTCCCCACCGACAACAACATATACGATTCGGAGATGAAGACAACAATAGCCGCTTGCTTCCCACGCGGCTTCGCCGCCACCGAACCTCGAAAGCCCTCCCCAAAGAAAACCGTCGACACCTTCGGCCAACGCACGTCCATCTACCGCGGCGTCACACGGTATATTATTATTGTTATTATTCGTTTTCATCTTTTCATTATTATCATCATTATTATTTATTTATTTAATGTTTTTTTTTTAATTTTCAGACATAGATGGACCGGGAGATATGAGGCTCATCTTTGGGATAATAGTTGTAGAAGGGAAGGACAAAGTAGGAAAGGTAGACAAGGTAAAAATATTATTATTAATACATGCTAATTTTAGTTATTGTTTTTTCTCTCTCGTTTGTTTTTCTTAAATTTGAATGAATGAATATTTTTGTTGTGAAAGAGTGGTGGTATCTAACATGCGCCGGGGAGGAACGGGGTCCACGAGATCTGGGACTGAACTATACAGAGTGGGAACGGTCCACTAAATGTGACCGGAATAAATGGGAGTAAAAGAATGTGGCTCACTATTTCAAATCCCAATGCGAACCCTTCTCAATGGTTCAGATTACTCTGCAAGCATATAAGCATTATATTGCTGTAGATATTTTTTGGAGTCTTGCTAGTTTGCTAGCAGAGTGTGTTTGTGTAGTGTCGTGTCTATCTAGGTTCTAGGATGATATAGTGCAACAGTGCGTGCGCTTGTTTATTCATTATTATTATTATTTTGTGTTATGTTATGTGAGTGAATGTTGTTGCTGAAGATTCTGACCGTGCTTTCTTTTGTTTCTTTGCGTGGCCTTTGTACCTGGCGAATGATTGCTGACCCATGGGATTTTTTGCTCATTATGTGGTTTCAGTTTACTTGGGTGAGTTTGTTTCTTTACTTTGCAAATACCATAGCATAGTTTGCTGTAGACATTGACCTCATCATTCTGTTTCACAAAGCATTTATATTCTATTCCTCCTTCTCCTGTTCATTTATGATCATGAATTTGATTGCGGGTTTCGTAGATTCAGATTCTTCTCATGGGTAATAATAATAATCATTTTGCTCAAAAATGACTCTTTTGTTTCTTCTTTATAGGTGGTTATGACAAGGAAGAGAAGGCAGCTAGAGCTTACGATCTCGCAGCTCTCAAGTACTGGGGTCCAACCACCACCACCAACTTTCCTGTGAGTAGTAGAAGGATATTCCTTTCATTTTCAGTAAATGGGTTATTTTTGTTTTTATTACATGCAACTCTCATCTCGTAGTCTTTTTCGACACTCCAAGTTGATGATCTATATTTCCATATTTTATTTGTTTGCATTTCGCAGATTTCCAACTATGAGAAGGAACTGGAGGAGATGAAGAATATGACCAGGCAAGAGTTTGTTGCTTCTCTACGAAGGTAAAATATAGTACGAGCTATTTTTTTATGGTTACAGGAATTATCATGGGCATGTTTAATTTGTTTACCTTACTCCATGTTATAGGAAGAGCAGTGGTTTTTCTAGAGGGGCCTCAATTTACAGAGGAGTGACGAGGTATATGTCTATCTTGTGGAGTTGTACTTTTTAAGTTTTAACGTTTTGTGGCCTCATTTTCGTTCCTTTTGGTCGTTAGCGTATATCTTGGATTCTGAATGAATAAATAAATAATATTTGGTGTTTTAATATCTTGGTTTCAGGCACCACCAGCATGGCCGATGGCAGGCGAGAATAGGCAGAGTTGCCGGAAACAAAGACCTTTACCTTGGCACTTTCAGTGAGTCATCGCATATCTTCCATATGTTGACATCAATTATTGTGTTTTTTGTTGCTTTCTATCCCCTCCATACATGTGCTTTCTTCAAAAGGAAATAAGTTGCTAATTTTTTATTTACAAAATACAAAATATAATCTATAGATGATGACCCCTTTATTTTTTAATGGGCGACAATGAGGTTTGAACTTCGATCTCTCGCAATCTAACCAAACCCCTTACCACTAACCCATGTGCTTATATATTTTTTTTATTTGTTTGTTATAATAGTTTCTGACTTGACAATTGTAGCAATTTATTCATTATTAACTTGGGCATTCTTCGTTACTTAAAAATTAGGCACTCAAGAAGAAGCTGCAGAAGCCTATGACATTGCAGCTATCAAATTTCGGGGACTAAATGCTGTCACAAACTTTGACATGAGTCGTTATGATGTAAAGAGCATTGCAAATAGCACACTTCCCATTGGGGGTCTATCTAGCAAGAACAAGAATTCAGCAGATTGTCTATCTGAGAGCAAAAGCCACGATGCAAGCCGATCAGATGAACGAGATCCATCATCAGCTTCATCCGTAACCTTTGCATCACATCAACCTTCGAGCTCTACTTTAAGCTTTGCCATACCCATAAAGCAAGACCCTTCAGATTACTGGTCCATCTTGGGGTATCATAACCCTTCCCTTGAAAATAGTGGCGTTAGGAACACTACTAATGTTACTACAACAACCTCTTTTCCATCTTCCAACAATGCCACTGCTAGTACCACACCCTTCCACATGGACTTCTCCACTTGTCCCTCAAACACAAGCAATGATAACAATGCCGCGTTTTTCAGTGGAGGAATCTATGTTCAGCAACAAAGTGGTGGTTGTGGAGGTGGAAACAGTGGTTCTCCTTCTACTTCTTCAAGCTGTTCAATCCCATTCGCCACGCCCATATTTTCTTTAAATAGTAATAGTAGTTATGAGAGTGGTTCTGGTTATGGAAACTGGATTGGACCTACCCTGCACACATTCCAAACCCATGCAAAACCCAGTCTCTTTCAAACTCCAATATTTGGCATGGAATGAGCTCATGCACGAGGTGGGATGAGAATCTGTGCATATAATGATGAAAGGGGAAGGACAGTGGTGATGGCATTTTAGCATGCAATGCAAGGCAGCAAGGAAGGACTAGTCTTTAGCATATGAATGAGTTGGACTGACAGTCATAATTCATCACAACGTAGCTAGCTAGCTGACACTGTACTAACTCAAAGTTCCTTTGTTTAGTCTTCCATGAATTTCCTTTTCCGTTTTCTTTCTTTCTCTTTTTTTTATTTTTCGTTTTCGCTTTTAGCCTTTTGTCCTTGTTAATATATACTGACATGATTTTATGAGCATAATGGGAAAGAAATCCTTTTGTGATCCCTTTCATTTCATTTATGTTAGTATCTACTTGCCGTTTATGTGAAAGGCATTTAATGCCTGTGTTGGTGTACCTATGTTGTGTCTTAACCTATTTTGGTAAATTCGCATCAATTTAGGTGTGTGTCCGAGTGGAGTAGTTTATTGTGTTCTTTAAAAATTGATTAAAATTAGTAAGTGCACAAATCAATTAGCATGTGGATTTATGATTTTAAATTTGACCTCTTAATTCTCAAATCTATTTATTCTCTCTAGTTTTGACCTGATGACTTATGTGTAATTAAGTGCTTAATTAGTATAATGTGACGCAGCAAGGGACACATCTTTGTCCATATGGTTACTGGTATGTGACTTATGTGCCACGGAAAAAGCTGAAATTATATTCGTTCAGGTTCAGTGTGGCTGAGTAGCCTCGGGAGAATTTGAACTCTGGCGTTTATTGTGAGTGCGCATCTCTTTCTCTTTCGGTTGGACTTGTTTCACATGCAAGCACACTCTGTACTTTAAGCGTCATGGTCATTTGCTTTTACTTTTTACCAAGAAGGAAAAATTATTCAAAATACTTTCTTTATAAATAGTGCATATTTCTTTTGGTTTATCTTTTAGTTACAAAATTATTTTAAATAGTCATATAATAATATCATGATAAACAAAAATATAAAGCAAACATAAGCAACATCGATCTCTTGCACTTAATTCGTAACAACGGTTTCAATAGTTGTTGTTCTTAATTTAGTAAATAGATATCCAGAATATAATGATTTGTATTCATTTCAGATAGATGTTCCCGTTTAATAAGCTATTTACGACTTAATCAAAACAAAGGTCAAACTTTGTTGCTCAAGAAATTCGTCACGGATAGTTCAACTTGAGCTCTCGTTTAGGTGGTGTAAAACAGTCCACCAACAAAAAAGATCGTTAGTAAGGTAAACAAGTTTTTAAAAAAGTCATCGTTTTAAATATACGTTACCTTTATATTACTTTTTCATTTTTAGTTGGGTAATGACATTAAAATTACACTTTTCAACACTTCTCATTTTAAACAAAAATATTAAAAATAGGTATGAATTATGATGTATAAATAATTCATGTACGACGTACTACAAGTTCTTAAAGGGTAGATCCTACACAATTAAACCAGATGCTTTTTATATATATAAAAATGTCCAGGTAGTTCATTAAACCTTATTTGGTCAGATTAAATGTTTTAGCCTTTTAGTGTGTTTCTATCTCTCTCCAACTTTTGTTCTACAATAAGTAGCACATCAATTTATTGTAATTAACTATTCTTTCTCTTTCCCGTTTGCACGATCCTAATGGCCACTCTCCACAGTTCAGCGTGTATACAAACTCAAACTCTCTAGGAGGACTGCAATAATTGGTCTTATATATGCTTCAGTACTATTTACATTAGAAAGGTAAGTCGGGGGCCACTAATTATGAGGGAGCACAATTTTGACCAAAAGTTGGATAATCAAAATTCAAAAGTGAAAAAAAAGAAAGCGTAACTAGCTAGATCATGATACACATAGGACAGAAACAAAAACCATAATATTGTTAAGTGTTGTTGTGAACTTTTTTGGATGGGTCCCTCCCTTTTAGATAGTTACAACTGGACTTCAGTTTAGAGACAAATAGTTCAAAAATTCAAAGAAAAATAGAATAAGAAAAGGAGGGAATAGAAGGGATCACAAAAAAAATGTGTCTTTTCTTGTCTCTTATTAAACCCTCTAAGGATGATGACTGCCCTCTGTACCTTTCGGCGCTTATTAGATCCTTCCCCACCATGCCCTCATCTTTGACCATTGTTTTGACTATTGCATCTTTTTGTTTGAAGCACTATCATATATTGAATCGAAGTGTACTGAAAATGGAAGCTATAGCACGAATACGATATGTTTCTGAGTAACTCTCCGATAACATTAATTCCAACCCCTTAATCTGAGCAAGCTTTTATCTTTTGCCACAAACGATAACGAAAAGAGAGAGAATATTCCAATATTTTGGTCGTTTTATATATGATGAAAAGAGGTGTCATGGAAACTGTTACCATGCATGAGGGTAACCTAATGCGAACCCCCTTTTCCTCGCTGACCGATTTAACCGCGAGTACACAGCACAATTAACTAAATAGTAAAACGAATTTAATTTACCTTTAATGATGCATAGATTACTCAGATCGTGCGGTTAGCTTCTATAATTATTTGATATCATGCATTTTCTAACTATCATATCATATGCTCGCATCACGTTGATGGTGGGGATAGGGTATCGATTAATATCAATCAATTACCGAGTTCGATTAATTAATCATGCTGCTTTTTCATGAAACAAATTGACCAGAGTTATCTGTTTAATTAATCAACTGGACTATATGAATTGTGTGCAAAATTAATTTTTAATATTTGTAAACAAAATTATTAAACTGAGAGTGAAGTAAGTTTGAGAGAGAGAGATATTTATTGCTCATAATACCCGTGGTGATTACACAACTTAGTAATAAAGTCAAAGTTGTATGTCTTAGTTACTTCGCAACTTGGTGGAGCCTTATTAGCTATCAGCCTTTTTTAGGGGAAATTTTATCCGTTAATTTGAGTCACATAAAAATATGTGTATTTGCAATTGTTTGCACATGCAAATCTCACATATATGGTCTCTCCATATGAGTCTTGAATAGCCATTATTTTACATTCCTTCTTAAAAAATTTAATCCGAATCGCATTATTATAGGAACTTAGGTACCAGTGGCTAGGAGCTATAGAGGTATGAAAGTCCCAGAAATATGTTGCCCTGAATAATGAAGGTCTTGCATATGTTCGCCAAATGAGCCTTTGTCTGCTCAAAAGCTTGCCTACAAATTCTTAAAATGTTTTAGTTAAACAAAATACCACACTCGCTATTATAAATAAATAAAGATAAATATCATCGCAGTTATTCTCCAGTGTAGAAACCCTAGTAATCACCGTTAAAGATTAGCATTTATAGATAATGTGATGAATGTCTTTCAAATTAAAAAGAAGGCTCCAAGTTTAAATTTATTTCCAGATATAAGCCATTGTAATGATTTATAGAGAAAACCGAAATATATTATACATGAAAGTCAAGTAGGTTTAAAGTGTGAGAAGGATATTGAATATTTACCACACAAAATAAGAACTTCAATATTTAAATGTAGAGGCACAGAGAGAAAAACGCGAGTGGGCATCGATTAATTTGCACCAAAGTATTTGATAATTAGCTGGTATTAGTACTTTATGTCAACCTAACTGAAATTATGCGTTCAAACCAAGTTGACAGGCACATGCGATATCTTAAAAAGGCTACACTTTGAAATGGAACAAAATGATAGTCAAATGTAAAACTGCATAAAGCTCACCCTTTCCTTTTTCTTTTTTTTTCTTTGTTAAATTTGTGCGTAGGGGACCTCTTTTTCTGTTTCTTTCTTTGTAGCTTTTCTTGTGGGTGAGTTAAGTCACAATCTATGTTCCCCATATGTTTTGCCTACAAACAAGTTATGTCGGCCATAGGATAATACAAACACCCACCTTAACTTTATTCATTTATTAATTACATGTCTTCTTTTTCTCTCTTACTCGGTGAGTACCTTTGACTGAGGCCAAGAATTGAAAGGCAGCAGTATCTTAGCTAGCTAGCAACCAAACCCACTATTTGTTTGTTTGATTTTTTTTTCTTTTTCTGTTAATATAATGATGAAAGGATTAGAGGAACTTTGCCTTTCGAGATGCGAACAAGAAGTCGTGGATCAAGGACACCATGACAAATTGTGCTTATCTATAAATCTATATAATTAGTATCTCCGACACTTTTTAAATTACTGTGTAGACGGAATTATTATAATCATTTGTTAATATTATGATAATCATGCGTCGATGAACCCTCACGTGCTTTTCTGACTACGGTGCTCCGGCGAAGCGTGCGGTTGAATGCCAGAACTAGATTGCCTAGATCTTCTTTCTCTCTCTTTGCTTAGTTTATCTTTATGATAAATGTTAATTAAGACTAAAAAAATATTCATTGTTTTAAATGTACATAATCTTTTATGTTTAATTTCTTAACACTATTTTTACATATTTTTCAATTTTTGTTGACGTGAAGTTTCAGACCGAAATGTATGATAAAAGTATCATCTGTTAATGATTTAATATTGAATTAATTTTTATAATATAATGTTTTTCTAATAAAAATAATAGTTTTAAACAAGTTTTTAATCCTTAAAAAAAATTATTAATTTTTTATTTAGTCTCTCATTTTTTAAAACAAATTGCTAATTTTTTTTCTCTATTTTTGTATGGCCACTTTGTTAATGATTTATTATTTTTATTATTATTATTTTGTTATCTACCTATGTGGCATTTGACCTGGCTCAGAAAATAACTTGTCTCAATTTTAAAATCCTAACCTTAAACCTCATTTTATTCATACATGTAAAAAATATAATGATGTTAATGACATATTATGTCTATGCCACATTTTAATTAAATTATATGAATTAGCACATATGTTATGTAATAAATAATAAAACAAGTTAATAAATCATTATTAAAAAAATCTAATAAAAATGGAGAATGGTTTTTCGTACACTAGATTATAAAAAAATACAAAAAAAAGAATAAAGTAGAAAATTTATAATTAATAGCGTGATGTATTATACAGGCAAATAACATTATTATCATAAAATATTAATATATCAAATGCTAATATAAAATTTATTATTTTTCAGGTACAGATCT